GTTGCCTCTGGCAGTTTCTTGAAAGTATGTCATAGAAGCTTTAGATTTTTATATAAAAAATAAAAACAGACGGTAAACTACAAAGATCTTTTTGTTCTTGGCATAATATAGTTGGCTACAAAACAAGGTTCCGTTCTCTCAAAGTGCAGTTTGGAGGGACAGGGTCATCAGGCTCCCTGTGTGTCTCGGCAAGGGGAGATCCTGTTTCTCATTCCCTGATGGAGCGCTTCAGGAGAAGATCACCATTTAGCAGCATAGCTGGGCAGGTCTGGCCTCCAGCATATGTTCGCTTGAACCCTACCTGGTGCTTCTAGCGATTTACTGAAAGAAAGTGGTTCAAACATCCAATCCTACTAGTTTCTCTACTTCTCTCTAGCCTGGCCTCACATATTTCTGACTTGACTTTTTGGGAGGTACAGCTCTGGCCTAGAACACTTTCTTCTTCTCTACCTTTCAGATTTCTATCAGTTATCTGTCACTATATGACAAACCACTTCAAAATTTGGTGACCTGTTGGTTCATTTAGCCCAAGATTCTGCAAGTTGGCAATTTGGACTGGATTCAGCTAGGGGGTTCTTCTGTTGATCTCATTGATGGCTCTGCTGAGGGCTATCTAGTCTCCCATGGCTTCAGCTGAAACATCTCATCTCATAAAGTATGTGGTCTCTTCCTCCCACAGACTTAACCTGGGCCTGTTCTTGGCAGCTGATTGTGTTTCAAGAGAGTGGCCAGAGATATGTAAGGTCTTTTGAGGTCTAGGCTCAGAATTAGCATGTCAACATTGCCACCATTACAAGTCCAGCTCAAATTCTAGGGACAGAAGAGTAGACTCTACATCTTCACATAAAGACCTGAAAAGTTGCAATGCCAAAGAGCAGAGATACAAGCAGGGGAAGAATTAGGCCATTTCTGCAAACAATCCACTGCTGATCTTAGACATCCTTTGAGATCCATCTGCCCCATGAAGCCTACTTTCTGACATACTAAACACTGGAGCGACCACTCCCCAAAGTGCACTTTCCCTGCATTTGCAGTCTATGTCATGTCTTCTCATTCTTGATCATGTTATCTTATTGACCCCAAGTTTTTCAGGAGTTTTACTCCCATCTCTCCAACTAGATTGCAAACTTGTTAGAAAGCAGAGATGATAGTTTCTATATTCCCCAATTTTCATCCAGTTTGGGGCAAATATTAAGTACTCAATAAATGTCAGCTAATTAATCATGGACTGATGTGGCAATGTGCTTATCACACATTAACCCAACACTCTCATAGATAAATGGAATTCCAAGCAATAAAAACAACAATAAAATTTTAAAGCACTGGCTTAGAGTGTCATTAAAGGCATAGATATGCCCCTCTTAGTACTACACAAAGCATTTTGTCTATGATAAAACATAAGTTTCTTCTTTAAAATGGTATCTTTTTAAAAAGACCCTATTCCCACATTATCTTCTACTCTTCCTCTCTCTGTTAAGCGGCATTAGTGAGTAATTCTTATAGACATTTTCTGTGCAAAGGTAGGCCTTCTTTAAACTGTTCAGTACTAAGAACTGTTTGCATACATATTTCATTTCAATTCTTGTACCGGAGCCTTCATTTACCCACCCACACTGGAAGGATGTTGCTGATTTTACCCTTTTGCATGATAAGGGAATGGCATTTCTAATATGATTAACATATGCCTGAGAAAAGGTATGAATAATTGTTCAGTATGATTAAATGCTGTTCAGAAAAGGGACAATTTAATTTGTCCACACCACTGTTTTAAAAAGACAGAAAAAAGGTTCAGTCTTTTGTAAACATCCTAAAACCAGAGGTTCTCAATTTTTAGTGAGCATCAGAATCATCTGTGCAAATGCACAGATTGCTGGCCCTGCCCCCAGATTTTCTGATTCAGTAGATTGGGGATGGGGGTGGACACAAATTTGCATTTCTAACAAATTCCCAGGTGATACTGATACTGCTGGTGATAGAGACTGTACTTTGAGAACTGCCAAAATCTTGAGATTTATAAGCATCAATATCCACAGCATACTAACCTGTAAGCATACTTAGGCACGACATTCAAATATTCAATATCCCCTCTATCATGAATCTTCCCCTTCCCTATTTCAGTAAGGGAATGTGGATTGCCTCCTGGATTACTAGGGCCTGATACTATTTAGGAGACATTATGACCAGTTAAGGGGGCAACTCTACCTGTTGATAGTAAAACTGAGTGCTTCCTTGGGGCTCAACATGTTTCCATGGTCAAAGTTGAAAATAAAAGGAAAATTAGGGATCAGAGCAGCTGTCATCATGTTATCTGCTCAAGCAGGGAAAGAGCAGACATCAAATTATGCAGGTAAATGTGAAACACTATTTTTAGTAGTTTAGAAAATATGGGGGGAAAAAAAGGCCACAATTGCCTCCACAGTGCAATGGCAACCTGAAATGGTTTTCCCACCGCTAGCACTTTATACCTGATTAAATGCTCCTAAATGGTGGTAATTGAAAGGACAACAGAAAATTCACAGAGGCACTCATACCTACTTTATCATCATTGACCAACAACACACAGAAGTACACACCTCCAGCTATACATCATGAAACAACCATTCTGCGGTTCCTGGAGTCCTGAATTTGCAGGCTCTGAAAGAAGCCTCACTTCACAGCCTGTCTTAGAGCAGGTGCAGGATCCATTACTATTTAGACACAGCAGATTAACAGCAAGCTGGGTTTGAGTGAAGAACAAGTTACAAGAACTGGTGAATGTAAACCCTTATAGGTCACCCAGGAGAGAAAATGTAGCAGAATGTCTGTCTGTCAAATGGTAGCGAGAAAGTTAGGGAGATTCTTAGAAGACCAGCTGCAATATGAGTCTTTAAGAACTGGGCCTAGTTCCTTATGTCACAGACTCTAGGGTCCCTAGTCACCTCCACCTACCCACCTATCCATCCGTCTCTCCATCTATCCATTTCTTTAATTACATGTGTGTGGTGGTGTGTTTTTAAGTCAATACTATGTAGCATAAGGGGGAAATATAAAAAGATGAAAGGTTCCTACTCTGAAGAAACTCACCATCTACTGTGCCGCTAATTTGTACAGTTGGTATGACATGAAATCCCATAGCTTTTGCATATTTTAGTCCAGCTGGGATGGAGGAAAAAAACGAATAAAACCAACAGGGTTTTCTGATTGTTTTTACGTGATTCAAAACTTCTTGGAACTTTGGGGCAGGCATGGACGATCAAAAAGTCTCACTTAGGTTTGCTTTTTCAATAGCCCTTTCCAGACAACAAAGAAATGAGCGTTCGTTGAACTTTTACACTGGGCAATATATGTAAAGTTTAAGGATATAATTGGTTGCCATCAGACTCCAATTCTGCTATTTGCCAGCCCTGAAACTCCAGGAAAATTTATCAATCATACTGAACCTCTTTCCTTATTTATTAAATAAGCACAATCCTTGCTTTATTTCACAGGGTGCTTGCAAGGATTAAAATAGCTTAGTATATGTGAAAATTCTTTAGAAACTCTAGTGTTATGCAAAATACAATGTTACGCTAAATAAATGATACGTTGCCCCCAGGTTTCTTCCACTCCAGCAATGAGGACAACACATATTGGAAACTGCCTCTTAAAGTTGATCATATAATATGTCTACTTAAATGCCTTTATTGCTGGAAGCTCAATACTTCCAGGGGATTCTTTTCCCATTATGAGACTTATCATACTATTTGAAAGTGCTTTTCTATAACAGGCTGCAAGATACTTATTAAAGACCTGGTCATAAAATTCAAATGGTGATTCTCTGCTGTGTACCATTATTATGTTACTCTTTGTTTAGACTGAGTCAGTGATTGCTGGTGTGCGGCTGACAATCTTGTCTCTCCCCATCTATTTCCATAAATTAATGATGTTTGGAGGATTTTGTGTGTGTGTGTGGGTGGATATCCTTGGTTTGTTGCTCTTGTCCATGTGTTTGTGTGTGTGTGTATTTGTGTGTGTTTGTGTCTGTTTTCTGAAGGAGAAAAGAGAGACTTGAAGAAGAAACAAAGGAAGAAGGATGATCAAAAATGGAGGGTGGAATGGGTTGTATTCCCCAGGCTGGCTTAGCAAAACAAGGGCTCATTCTCACAGAGAGAGAGAGAGAGAAAGAGAGAGAGACTACAAGTAAAAGCTAAAGTTCAGGCTGGGCACGGTGGCTCACACCTGTAATAGCACTTTGAGAGGCCAAGGTGGGCGAATCATGAGGTCAGGAGTTCAAGACCAGCCTGACCAACATGGTGAAACCCCATCTCTACTAAAAGTACAAAAATTAACTAGGTGTGGTGGGCACCTGTAATCCCAGCTACTCAGGAGTCTGAGACAGGATAACTGCTTCAACCCAGGAGGCGGAGTTTGCAGTGAGCCGAGATCGTGCCACTGCACTCCAGCCTGGGTGATAGAGCAAGACTCCATCTCACGGAAAAAAGAAATGCTGCAGTTCAGACCATTTTTGTGAAGAACACTGTGAAACTTAAAGGCACAACCATGCCCGGTGCTTTCGAACTCAGGTGAAAAAGCAAAAGTCCATGCGAATAAAAGAGCTTTTCCCAATTCTAGGAGGAAGGAAAATTGTAGATGTGTCCTGAAGAAACTAAGGGGGAACAACACAGCAGTGGGAATGTCACGGCACTTTTCAGAGAAGTAGGGGATCTATGTTCTCACGGCAGCACCCCCTAAGGAAAAAGAACAGAAAAAGGGTAACAAATTGAGTTCCCACTAGGGCACACTTGAGGAGAGCTGGTGGGGGATGGTGAATATCAAGTTAAGACTCTGCAGTTACACTTTGTAAGCTAACAAACTGGAAAATATAAGAATTGATGTTAATATGACCTCCCTGGGACTCTCTTGGGAATGCTGAGATGATGACTATTAGTACTATTAACATTATAATTAACTAATAACGTAACAATGCTGTGAGGTACGGAAGGGGTTATTATCACCATTTTGCAAATGATCAAATCCACTTGTTGAAATCAAATTCTATTTTTATTGCATCCCTCCTCTTCGAGCACAAGTTTCTTTCTTATGCCTTAGTAGTGAGGTGCTATCTACAGATAACATATAAACCACCCAACAGAAATATGTCACTTAAGACCCTAAATACATTATACAGAAGTTACACATTTTCCCCCAAAAATTGACTTGGAAATCTCATTGTACAGTGGTATTTAGGAGTAAGAAATATGCATTTTATTTCTAAGAACAGCTTTTTGTTGCTATTACAAATATGCCAAATTGGAATAAAGAAGAGGTTTGATGGTTAAGCTTGTTTTGAGTTTCATTTTTCTCGATGATAAAACAGCATTTTTGCTTTCTTTCCCTTTATTCCAAAAGTATTCACTGAAGATTCTTAAAACTCTCTAAGGAATTTTCCATAGGGATGAATAAACCCAAGAAGAAACTTTTGAAAACCTTGTAGGAAATTAAATGGTCATATTTACGATAGAATTTTTTGTCTAAACATTTAAAGTAACATGAACCACGACTGAGTAAAGAAAGAAGGCAAAGAAAGCAGATTGTGAATTATGAGTCTCAAAGGTTGAATCCTAAAACTCGATTTTTGACAATTTGACAATTTTCTTATTATTTTGCCATGGCAGCCTCCAACGTCATCCTTCCCTTGAAAGTGTTGGGCTATATAGACAGCACTTCCAGTCAGACCAAGAGAAAATAAATAGACTTTTAGAACTGAAGTGGCATTCAGCCTACCTTACTTTGCCCATCTGCCTCCATAAAAATAAAAGTCCTCCAGTTTTGTCACTTTTGTTTTCCTTTGGTTTTATAGATTCTTCTACTTTAGCACAGTCCACACATGTGAATAGTAGGATGCTTTGAAGTCCTTAACATACACGTCACTCCATGAAAGCCATAATTACTATACTTTATGCCAACTTCTATTCTGAAGTTTTCAGTGAAGGCTTCAGTGTGGAGTAGAGTTTATTGCGATGTCAAGGAGGGCACTGAAGTGTAGAAGCCTGCAAAACAAAGACATGTAATAAAAGAGATCAAAACAAGAGAAGTAATCAACTTCCTGCCCTACTGGTAAGTTTCACACCAGTTTTTTCTGTATTTACTGAATGAAAGAGTGGTATAAATATTTTATCATCCACTCCTAACCCAGCATGCCATGTTAGAATGGCATAAACTTCCCCATTAGGTTATGCTTTGAACCATAGAGAAACACATCAAATGTTAGACCAGGAAAGAATCCTAGATACCTAGTCCAAACCCCTTAATTTCATATATGATTTAAAAAAGGGTTTTGGAAAGTGGCTTGCCTTTCCCAGGGTCATTAAGCAGATTGTTGTCAGAAGGGGGTTTAGAACTCAGGTATTGGCTCTCTTGTTTCTGCACTTTGCCTAGGAGCCACAATAGTGTAACTAGAAACGCTGTGTTAAGCCTTCCTAAGAAGTTGCACGCCTAGACTCTTTTTTTCCAAAAACCATTTCTGGAAGTGATAGGATCCATAATCTCAGCACCTTAGAAATGTTGAGTTCTCAGCAGCTAGAATGCTAAATTCTCCATGTATAAGATAATTCCACATTACTTTGAGGTAAGAGGTGCCACAAAGCCAGCATTCAAAAGCTGTTCCCAAAATACAACAAGCAATAGCCTTCTAATTGTTCCTGTTTGCTGAGTGTGTCATTTTTCTATAGCTATGAGTTCCCTTGGCCCAAACTAGGACATGAAAGAGTTAAAGGCTTTTTCCTCATGTTTTACAGAATGCATCAGAAGAGATTTGTTCCAGAATTCAAGGACAACTCTACAAAGGACCCACCAATATTATCAGATATAAATACAAATAGATACAGATGCTACAGATAATATAGATACAGATGTTATAGATACATATATAGATATCTCCTAAAGCTTAAAGTCTAAATGAAATTATGATGTCTACTCCAAAATAATATTAAAGAAATCTATTAAGCTATCTATTTTATTGCAAAGAACATGTCTCTGGGTGATAACACCAAAAAAGATATTATAATAAATATTACAAACAGCTGAAACTCGGAAATGACACTAATGTGTCCTTTCATTCCAAGTCCTAAAGATATACCTTCCATTTATGGTTGGCCTTCCTGGAGCATTGGAACATATGAGTCTGGAGTCTTATCCAATGTTTTCAGGTCACATTAATCCTTCTCCTTGTAATCTTGTCTTTAAACTTAATCATAGTCTAAATTAAATTCTATATTAGAGGAAATACCTTATATTATGAGAAGCAGCATAGCATGAGTTCCTGGGTTCAAATTCCAGCTTCAACTCTTACTAGCTACATAATCTTAGGCAAAGTACTTAACCTTTTTGCAACTCAGTTTCATTCATTATTAAACAATTATAAGAGGAACTACCTTTTGGATTAAATTAATTACATTAGATTTATGTGCATAACACACTTAAAATAGTTCCCAGCACATACTAACATGTATAAATTACTGTTATTTTATTTTTCTCCTTGAGCACAGCCACAACTGCCTTAGCATTACTTTTTTCTATGTGTAAGACAGAGGCAATTAATAAACATTTGAATAAATGAAGCAACAAATGAAGACCATATTAAAGACTTAGTAAATCACACACACAAATTTTAGTACTAGTAATAAGTCATTCCCAATAGACTGAGCCCCAAACATTGATTTTATTCACAGAAGAAATCTACCAACTTCTGTGGTAGTTGCATACCATCCTCAAAGAGACTCTTTACCAGTCAGCAAAATAACTTTACTGCATAATCTCTCTCAGTATCATCAATTGACTGAACAGTCCGAATTTAGTGGGAAATGGCTTTACTTCTCTCCAATCACTGCTTTTAAGCATTCTCTGTTGGACATGCATCTCTCAGTCCTTGTCTCAGGCAGATCCCATAGCTGCCGCATTCTCTCAGGTATACAAAGAAGCCCCATTCCATCAATGGTGACATCCATGCAGGGATTAAAGATATCTGGTCCAGTCTAAATCAAAATTTAATTTCATATCCAATTCAAAGCTTCTCTTCTACTCCCCTAACTCAGGGCTTCAGTGGTGGAGAAGAAACTGACCTGTTCCTTCTCTTTTCCTTCCTATCCTTCCCCTGCTCTTCTGGCTTCTCTAAGGTCAGGAGAGAGGAAGAGAAGACTAAAGGAAAGGTGCATGTTTTGTTGTTGGTTTCAATTACTGTGCATTTTAGCTCTCCCTTGGTTAATACTGGCTGGCCATCAGTTACCTCTGGGTTGGTCAGACATCCAAATCCTAGCACTTCAGTGAGGTACACAGGAAGTTTCTTTAGAAGCGTGGAAAGCATACGCTTGTGCTCACTTCTTGACATTCTCCCTTACCTACCCATTGTGGTATATCTCCTCCCATCCCAACCTATTACTAGGGTGTTCTCTTGCCTTAGCAAGCCACCTTTGGAGCAAGAAACCTTTAAGGTAGCTTGTACCTTTCACAGCATCCTCTTAATCTGTGGGAAACTCAAACATCCTTTCCACGCCAAAGGATTTAAAAAAGCAGGCTACTCTCAGACACCCCCTCATTTTGCTGTTGTTATGGCTGTTCCAGCTGCCCTCTTGCCTTCAGAATTCCCCAGATAATCAGGAAGCCCCAGTCTCTGAATTTACGGAGGCGTAATCATCAAGGAGCACTGTGCACTCACTCAGGATAAGTTTCACTCCCCATTCTATATTCCCCTGGCAGCCCCAGGAAAGGCAAAGGGCTTCTGTACTTCCGAAAGTCTCTAGCTGGGGACAAGAAGGCGAGTTTCCTCTTATTCTACGTACCCTCACTGTCTCCTAGTAGTACCCTTGCAGCCAACTCCTTGGTTGGCTTAAAGGACATGTTACAAGAGCCTCCTCTCACCTCTGCTTCCTTTACCTGAGGTGGCAGGGGCTGGGGGGCTGGAGGATGTTGCCACAGCCCTCCTCAGTAATCCAAGGGCTCATTACCTCTGTGAATCCCTTCACCTCAGTTTCTTCCCTCTGTATAGGCTGGGGTGAGTCACAAGTAAGGGAGTGAAAGGGTGAAGATCCCAGGACAAATCTGGCCACACATGAGTCCACAAAGTACCCTACTGCTTATATAATCTTTGTGCCAGGCATAGAATTAGGGCAACATCACAAAATCAGTGAGAAAACTAAGTAAAATGTTCTATGTAATAGGGGCCAGACACAGTGGTGCACACCTGTGGTCCCAGCTACTCAGGAGGCTGAGGTGGGAGGATCCCTTGAGCCTAAGAGCTCAAGGCTGCAGTGAGCTATGATTGTGCTAAGGAACTGCAGCCTGGGCAACCGAGTGAGGCCATTTCAGAAGAAAGAAGAAGAAAGAAGAAAGAAGGAAGAAGAAGAAGAAGGAGAAGGAGAAGGAGAAGGAGAAGGAGAAGAAGAAGAAGAGGAGGAGGAGGAGGAGGAAGGGGAGGGGAAGAAGAGGAGGAGGAGGAAGGAAAAGAAGAAGAAATAGGAGGGGGAGGAGGAGGAGAATAAGGAGGAGAAGGAGAAAAAGAAGGAGGGGTAGGGGAGGAGGAGGAGAAGGAGAAAAAGGATAAGAAAAAGAGAAGAAAGAAAAGAGAAATGTTCTATGAAATAAAAGAGGAGGAGGACAATTCTTCCTAGCAGTCAGTAAAACAATATGAAAGATCAGCCAAAAACTCATTCTGGTAAATAGGATTGAACATATCTGTAAACCTCCCTTTTATCTATGAAAAAATTCAGCCTCCCAAAGGAAATATTCAGGAAAATAGCAAAGCATGTAGTTATAATATCTATCCTGATATTAAAGATGCAGATAAAATGCAAAACTGATTGAGATTGAATTTCATAGACTGAGCATCCTTTTCTGTGTTGTTATGAGCAACCAATTATGTGCACTGTTCTGAAATTTTAGAAAATGGTCAGTTCTTTAAATAGATATTTTTCTCTTCGTTAAGTTAATATATAATTCTTGGGTTTCTTATCTGCTCCAAGGCAAAAGTTCTTAATTATTAAGCATGTTAACTTAAGAGTTTATATTCTTACCATTTAGACTTCGTTACTCTCTAATGAATTGTGAAATTTCACAACATTCATTGATACTAGTTTTTGTGAGATTGACAAGATACCAAAATGGTGTACAGACAGCTTTTGATTTATATGAGCTCAACATATGTGTGCATGCACCCAACTCAGAAGATATACATATATATGTAAATAAAATATCTTGAGCCAGAACTAGAATATTATGTGACCAAAGAAATCTCCTTCTTTCCCTCTTTCTTCTTGAGATTCCACTCTACCTGTCTCTTCAATCTATTACTGCCTAGAAATGCTCCTAACTACATGTTTATTCTCTTCTAGCCCAAGAACTAAATCAAATCAGATTCAGAATGGGGTCTGGATACCACAGTATTTTCTGCCAAGAGGCACTGGAAGAAGAATTGTAAATCTTCACTGCTCTAAGCTGTACCTTTCCCAATAGTAATACTCTCCTGCCCTTAAAGAGCATCTCTATTCCTGATCCCACCTATCATCAGTACTTTTTAATTTCCATTACAAAGTAAGGTCACAAGTATTCCTGACTGCCCAATATGAAGGCATATTTGAATTTTTCCATAGAAAAATTAGTCCAGTGCTTTGTGGCAACCAGAGATGAATGAGTCATTAGAGGGTTGGCATTGTAGACCCAAACACCTGCAAGTGTTTGCATAGGAAATTACGTCCAGAATTCCAAACGAAGGGCATGAAACACTAAGAGATACCTTAAATTCTTTATAAATAACATAAAATCAAAGAAGAAAAAGTTCCTTATAAAGTTCCACCTTTTTGAATGAGTAATATTGCCATAGTGCCTCATCTAGAAATATTTTCAGAATTTCCCATTTTATATAAAACAGCAAACTTCCCCTTGAAATTAATTATGGGTCCAAATGAAGAATAAGATCTTCCTTTGTGATCCAATGAATGAATCTGCTCTGAACTTATCTGTTCTTATCATCTTTACTTTTCCCACTATCTTAGTCCAT